ATACTATATTATTATTCTATTATATTGTAAAATATTTGGGTAGAATTACTTGCTTAACCCTCTGTAGTATTTAAATATAGGTCGAAATTATTTTTTTAACGGTGATCTACCCTTACAAAAATTTTGAAAAAAATATATGTTATAGTTCAGAATGCCCAAAAATGAGGCCACGCAAGCAATCGCACCGATATTCAAATGTTTTTTATTTTAGATTGAATTTTTTTTTGCAGCTTAAACAGCGTAAATTTTTTTGAGCCATTTGAATCGAAAGAAAAAAATATCGCCGTGACTTTTTACATTGCCCCAATTTGGAATTCTGAAAAAGTTCTTGCTACAACTTTTTCGTCTGGACCCATTTTTCACAGGGCTGCTATTTAAGTGAAACCTTCTTTCTTCTATTTTTGAACACGTTGGACAGTAAATCAAATTTGGACAATACAGGCGATCTTTTAATACAATAGGAAACAAGTTTTGCTTGAAATTCTTTTCGATTGAGAATACAGTTTGATCACAATGGGCATACTGCTAACTTTTTGAGACACCCTGTATAATGTACTACCGTGTAGATATCTGTATTTGTCGATAACTCTGTTAGTCGTGGAAAATAAGATCGAAAATTGCACGTTTCGATTACAGATTTTAGGAAAACGGCCAGATATATTAAATACCGCAAAGATGATCGATTAAACGGTAGGGTTTTAAAATTTAATCTAACTTTAAGCGGTTTAAAAGATATTCTGCAACAAGTTGTCAAAACGTCCAATTTAAACTTTTACTTTCGATATCCACGATGCTATCTATTAATCTAATTTTTCACTAAAATAGGCCAATTTTAAAGTATTCGAGATAGAACTACAATAAAGTGGAAAGGTTTAAATGCCCATATTCGAATATATACATTGTTCCATATTCATACATTCTATGATATGTTGTAACCATTAAATTTTTAATGTTTGACGTTTAAGGTATAGATTATAAAATTACTAAAAATATCGCCAATATTATTACGTAAGTGCCATGCACCCTCGATAATAGTGCCCACAATGCAACGGACAGTCACTGTAGTTTCCGGCGTGGGTACGTTAAAAAGGAAATTGGTCGAATAAGATAGCAGATGCTAACGATTAAAACTTCTATGAAAGAAATGACACTAAATTTGGTTAAGATACATACCTGGTACTTGTTTCACCTGACTACTTAACACGCGAGCAGAATCATTTCGAGCCGAGGCTATGCTAGTCAAAGGAAACCCTACACCCATTTTAAGTGCAGCAGCAGTAGGAACCATCATTTGCTGAGGAGCCCTGATTGCAACTGGTTTTCCTAAGTCATCAATATTAGGAAGATTCTTAGTTGGACAAGCACTCAGTATAGCAGAGTGAAACTTATGAATTATTTGTTTAAGTTTCATACTTATCTTGGATTCATCTGAACTTTCTTTTAATAACTAGATTGAAAAACGCAAAATTATTGAATTGGCTATCAAGAAAATGCGACAGTAAAAAAATGCATTATTTTACCTGGTCGTAATTAGTACGTAAATGACGTTGCTCTTCCAATAAAACGCTATTTTGTTCAAGCAATTTTTCAAGTCCTGCTTTCATAGTTTTTAATCTATCATTCCGATCTAAGTAATAAGCGATGAATTCTACGCTAAATGCTGGAGAAATGTGCCATTTTTTACGTACGTCTATTAATGCAGTCAATTGTGTTTCTTGCATTTCAAGACAACTACTATCAATACCCATTATTTCTGCTTTACGAAATAGCTTTTTACAAGCTGAGGCGCTTGTAGTGAGTAATCGGGGCATTTTCTGTGTTGGTACTAAAAAAAAAACAAGAAAACAGCGAAAAATAATTTCCAATTCATTTTTAACAAATATACGCACCCCATGGAGGTATTTTTATGCTTTTTAGGTTAAAATAGTGCGCTTTCTGTTGTTCTAATTTTCTGTGTATTCTTTGTTGTTCAGGACCATTATCCATATTGCCCCTTTGTAACTGCAACTTGCGATAAAAATTTCTTTGCTGAAGTGCTAAGTAATTGCGTTTTCGCTTCTTGACCAATGTTTTATCAGAATGTAATTTGCAGTGAGCATAAAAGGGGTCCGCTTGATCAGCCTCTTCTGAGTGGGCCTCAGAAAGTAAACCCTCTCTTTGAGCACTGCAAACGGTACAACATTAAAACATATGAGGATATATTCAAAATAAAACAACAATCCATTTGATAATTTTAATATTTTTCATTTAAGATAGTTCAGGCATGGAAGTTGTATTAAAAAAACAAAATAATTAAGAGTAAGTTAAAGTAAATATGTATTTTCTTTTGACTAATAGTTTAACACAAACAACTGATTTTATCAGAGAAGCCTTTAAATTATTTGAGAAATTCATTTATGAAGTCAAAATGTTAGCTGATGGAAGTAAACAAATTTCAAAAACACTGGTTTCTCATATTCCTCATTCTCTATATATTTTTACCCAAAGGTATTAAATTAACAGGTTAGCTTCCGACGCCTTTTAAAATAACTCCTTTTGGATATGTTCACCAGAAGGCGAACTAATTGAATATACCTCTCCAGTTCTCTGTTTATCTGTAAGCAGTAAGTAACTAAAGAAGAAAGGTCTTTGTTTTTTACGTCAAATGAATTTTCTTTTGATTAATCATCCTGTTAGAAATACACATTATTTGTATTTACAATTTTACAGTCGTAGTCATAATACCTGTCAGTTTCAGATATTATGTTTTGTATATGTACCTTAAGAGTTATTTATCGCAGCGCTCAGCTTTATCAAAACTGTTTCTCAGAATGTTAAACATGGCTTGAGAATTATTGACAATTGCTTCATCTAATTATTGAATGCTTTTGTCAACTGTTAATAGTTAGTTCACATACAACTCTTTTAACGATAAGATCACTGTTACATTTTTATCATTTTTGTCGTTTGCCATACTAAATAAACCGTTTAATACATTCTACCAAATTTATTTTAACACATCCTTTTTTGCCATAAGAATCCCCGGAGGCAATACTGATTTTTTCTGGATAGTTCCTTGTCGTCGCATTGCTTGACAAGGAACTTCATTTCAAATACTTGTTCCTTATTTAGACGCAAGAACATCTGTAGCATCTAAATTTAATTTACAACACAATGCAAATACCACAAATGGCGCGGTAAACGCCATCTGTATTACGATGCTACATTTTAGGATTACGTATGCTTCAACAAGGTCCATTATCTACTTTCTGAAAGGAATCCCGGCGTAGCTAACGTCAACGTGATAGGCACGTTACTATAATCGAATAAAATAATTCGAAGTGGTCTGTATTGTGTCGAAACTGCCAGACGATCTTTACCACAAATGGCGCGGTAAACGCCATCTGTAGTACGATGCTACATTTTTGGATTACGTATGCTCCAACAAGGTCCACAGATGGAGCTGTCTGCGACGCGCTAATGAGATCCAAAATGATCTGAAAGTAGCACGCTTGCAGAAATAAGAAAATTAAGTAAATGTTTGGTAGCGCAAAAGTCTACAGTTTTCAAGGAAACATATTTCAAAGTACAGTGAAGGGCCAGTCCGACCTCAGTAGGGTCACGCAGGGAAATACATTACAATGCCGCATTAGACAGCTACTAGTTAGAACATCAACCAAGAGTAATTCTTTATTATTTTAACGTTGTAGGCTTGTATGTGATTAATAGAAATCATTCGCAGTGTGTCAGCGTCATAAGTCAGTATAGAATAGTATTATTGAATTTACAAATACGTGTTTTTTAACGAACAATTTTCTAGACACTGGATTGAACGTACGGGTCCTGTACCTTGACCAGATTTAAATTCGCTTGCATTTTGTGTATAGGGTTTTATAAAATAACACATGTATCAAAAGCCAGTACATAACGCTAATAATATAATTTAAATGACCGTGCATGATCGCTGCAAATGAAGTACGTCATATACCGGACGTTTTCGCGCGATTCAAAAATATTTTTCGAAGTGTACATACGTATCCGTATGTGTTTACTGGTGTAATTAATTTTTTCTGATATGATAGGGCTACTGACGAAATTATCTCCCACATTTAAAATTATTTCAATTTATTCTTCCAAAATCAGCATTGACGGCGTTATTGCTTTTTTTTTCTTAAAATTAATATTTGACGTTTAGTGAAAGACTGACAAACATGTCATTTTACATTAGAAAAATTGTTTGAAATTAGATGACGTGTTAGAAGACATGTTTCGACGTCTACCAAAATTATTTATCACTCGCGCAAAAACGTCAGGCATTTGGTGAATTTCATTGGCAGCGATAATCACACGGTCCTGTCATTGAAATTGTGCATTAGCGTTTGATGCACTAGTTGTTTCATACAACCCCATACAAAGCAATCTTGCGGAATCAGGAAAGGATGCACAATATGCATATTTACATCACATTAATAGACTATTATAGAATTTATAAATCTGATAAAAAAATTGGCGTCTGCAACAGTTTTTGCCGAAACCACTGACAACAATATATTCATGGCTAAAAATTATTTTCCTGAAAGGCTTGCACTCACTGCACATGATAATGATACAGCAATTGCAGCAATGTTGCTTTATTAGTATACCAAACTACATTTTTTCTTGAAAACTGTGAACTTTCGTACCTATATTTACTTAGTTTACATGTCTTATATTGCCCTATAACCTCTTACAAACTCAGCCGTTTTTCAATTACCCCTTGTAAATTAAACCAAATTCAATAAAAAAAAGTAAGCTTATGCGTGAACTACCTCAAATAAACTAGGTACAAAAAAATCTACTTTAGTCACTTTTGCCTATCAAAATCAATTTAAATTTTACTTGCCATGTTACATGGAAATATGTTCGGCACATCCCAGCATCACATCCAATACATACTCCTGTTCTAGCAAACCTATCATCATGACAGAGACTACAAATTTTGGCACCCCATTTGCTATATGGCATTTCAAACAGTGTAACACTGGAAAGCTTATCTACTTCACCAAAAGCAACCCCTGGCACATACAAAGCACAAACAAGATGTACCCATTTTCCAACATCAGTTTCTTTAAAAACTCCTCCTGAATTGGGACATAGTTCACATGTTGGATTTGTTATACCGGCTTTACAGGCTTCACAAAACCAAGGTGCCGTAGGACATAAAGAATCAGTACTGCCAGTACTAGCAATATCTGAAATTCCATAACATGCTTCATGGACAGTGGCTCCACAGCTATCACACTCTACAATTTCATTAACGCTGTCGCTTTGATCTCCTAGACATCCACAGCAAATCAATAGCTGACTATTACAATTACTTTCATCTAACTGAAAATTAAATAATTTAAAAGGTGTCTTCTAAAAAAGAAACTTATACTAACTTGTAAATTTATGTCAGACTGTAAAGATGCTTTCTGCAAAACATCTGTAACTGACAAACCATTTGAAGATAACTTTATATTCTTCAAGTCATCCTCATCAGACTCTTCACATTCACTTTCCTCCATTTCAGATGATTCATTATCTAGGTAAAGAAAACACAGCTATTTGCAAATAATTATATTTATAAAACGGGTATGTATTGAAATAAAGCAAACCTTCTTCATTTGTGTCTAAAGAATCATCATCACTAATATCTGGATGATCTTCAATCCTAAAATCGGAATCATCAGAACTTTCTCCTAGATCAAAATCTAAAATTGATGCTTGAGTTTCAATTGGCTTTACCCTTCTTTTCTTGGGGTCACGTTCAACTAAAACACAAAATTATATTGCAAAAAAGCGACCGATATCATCTAAACGTTTATAAAATAATTACGAACTTGTTGACATTATTATTAAGGTAAACTTATTCGTCTCCGATTTCTCCAAGCTTAATTTAATGAAAATTTCTTAACCTAAACATTGACATAATACATTTGAATATTCCTATGTAGTGACGCACGACACGTTTGAAACTGCACTAATTTTTTTTTTAAGAATAATTAATAAGTACTTATATTATGCAAAATGTAGTTTTATGTAAAAAAAATTGAATGCCTACATAATGTTTCATCGAATGCCTCTACTTACTAGCAGTTTTAGTAATAAAGTCAACATCTTCGGCGTTTTCCAATACTGACATTTTAAAATCTGAAAAATAAACGTGATTGGTACAGAAAATTGACTGCAGAGGTAAAAAAGTACCTATTTGACAATCCAAATAAATTACTTTTATTTTAAAAATCAAGTATGAAAACGGTTAGTTTGATCCAATTCTAAAATTCCATTAGTTCTAAAAATTATTTTCCTGTGAACCATTAACAAGAAAAAAAATCAGCAGTAGTTCCGTAGTAAAACATTCTTCGTATATAAGTCCTTACATTCCATAATCCCCATGAAGAGCAGTATCCATAGATAGTCACAAAATGACATCTTAGATATTAAATAACAGCGTCTATTGATTCTTTTAAAAATAAAAAAAAAAGATGGGTCTGTGGTGCTTATGACCATCGACATATATTAATGGACGTACCTTAGTAGATAGAAAGAAATAGCACTAGTCAGAAACCATACGCCATCTCCCTCACTTTTCGAGCCAAGAAATTATTACAACGACACGGCTAAGGCACGTCCCATCGACGTTTAATAATGGACATGCCTTAGCGGTCAGAATTGTGATACAACAAAAGTAATAGATGGCACGAAGTTTCGGACAATATCCATCACTCTCATGATAGTGCCTAAGCGTGTCATGAAAGAGATAGCACTAGTCCGAAACCACACGCCATCTCCCTCACTTTTCGAGCCAAGAAATTATTTTGACATACGGCTAAGGCACGTCCATTAATATATGTCTATGGCACGTCCATTAATATATGTCTATGGCACGTCCATTAATATATGTCTATGGCACGTCCATTAATATATGTCTATGCCTATGACCACACGATAGAAGGGAAATTATATACAATTTATAATTATATCTATGTTATAGAATGAATTAGTTCAGTGATTCAACAACAAGATAATATTGAATATTATATAAAATACCCGTGAACTAATATCAAAATAAACAATTTTATTTGTGAATTAATTATATTGTGGAATTTTGCTCTAATTGGGCTTCTTCGATGCTATAATCATATACGCGCATAGGGCACGCATGTTACAGTATATTTTAATCAGTATTGTATTTTAATACAACTGTTCATAATTCCCCAATTTTTCCGGGGAAACGGTGTTCAAAATGTCACATGCATCTCCACGAAGCTCAACGGTCAACGGAGTGGCGCCCTATTATTCGTGTTAGAAGCCGCCTCGGATTGCTTATGGTATGTGGTCCATGAGGACTTTCCGCCAAACGTTGGTGGTTTTATTCGTGTTCTTGACTCTATACCGCTTCCTTGGCTGATTTGGCTGGCTTCGTTGAGTGTACTAGATGCGCCAACATCCCCTTCGATTGGTTTTGTCTTTCCATTAAAAATCAATTCTTCCAGCACTTTTATCTTCTCTTCTGTTTCTTGAATATTCTTATTAAATTTTTCTTCCCATTTATTCTCCAAACTTTTACTGTTTTCTTCCAATTTATTTTCCAAACTTTTACTGTTTTCTTCCAATTCACGTTTCAAACTTTTACTATTTTCTTCCAATTCACGTTTCAAACTTTTACTATTTTTTTCCAATTTACTTTCCAAACTTTTACTATTTTCTTCCAATTTATTTTCCAAACTTTTACTGTTTTCTTCCAATTCACGTTTCAAACTTTTACTATTTTCTTCCAATTCACGTTTCAAACTTTTACTATTTTCTTCCAATTTATTTTCCAAACTTTTACTGTTTTCTTCCAATTTATTTTCCAAACTTTTACTGTTTTCTTCCAGTTCACGTTTCAAACTTTTACTATTTTCTTCCAATTCACGTTTCAAACTTTTACTATTTTCTTCCAATTCACGTTTGAGGATTTGCGACAATTCATCTTCGAAAAGGAACGTTTCAGAATCATGGCCATTTTTTTTCAACGCCTCCGCGAGCCGCCACTGAAGTTCCGCTTTGTTACAGCTTGTCGCTTTATCCTGTTCTTCCAATTCTCTTCTTAACTGGGCTACTTTTAATTCGTACAGCTTCTTTGCCATTGTAATGTCTTTTACTCAACCCCACATCTGACACCAGTTGTAATGTTCGTGGGTTTAACAAAATTTAACTTCTAAGACGAAAACTATTTATTTACTCTAATTATTATTGAACTTAAATAAACTATTAAATTATTACTAAACTTAGGTAATTATTCTATTTATTTACACTACTATGATATACCACTATTCACTGCGCTATTTATTTCACTTCTATTACTGTCAATTTATTTCTTGATTCACTCCTGCAACGGTGAATTTATTTCTACTCTCATTCGGCGATCGTCTCTTCCTATAAATACTCTTTTGTTCCCTTTCGGGAACTTTCTCGAAACGTCCGGATCGATTAGTTTTTCTTTGAATTGTTTTCCAGAGTGCAGGTACGACACACACATTTACAAATACGGCACACATGGAGAAAGATGCCCGCGGCTAGTCGGCGAATCGATAAGCCGTCCACATACACGTATGCCTGATCGCACACAAACACGCTCGTGCTCGCTACAATAAGTTGGTGTACTATTGGGTTTAACTGCAACGAATGAATTTTAGTGCCGAATAGCAATTCGGCAGGACTGAATCCGGTAGTTTTGTGTTTTGTACTGTTTAGGGTCAAGTAAACCTCACCCAAACTGTCTTGCCACGTTATGGTACCTTGAAGTTCAATTGTTGTCAGGATATTTTTTAAAATGTGCATGACGCGTTCTACTTGACCATATGCTCTGCTTACACCATGTGCGATAAAATGATGCTCTATGTGACTATCAGAGCAAAACTTCTTGAATTCAGAAGTGGTGAAACATTTTCCCTGGTCGGAGATAATCCGATTGGGTGCCCCAATCAAGTACGTAAAAGTCCGAAAAGATTCAACTGTTTGCTTTCCGGTTAGGGAAGAAATATTGTACAAAATAGTAAATTTCGTAAAAGCGTCTATGATGACAAGGGCATATTCTTTTCGGTCGCTTTTACCAGTTAATTTTCCCGAAATGTCAATATGAACGGTATGCCACGCTTTTGAGACCTTTGGTATCGAATGTAGCTGAACCTGGAAGGCACCGGACTTGATTTTGAATGCTTTACAAATTAAACAATTATCGACAAATTTCTTAACGTTTTTGGACATATTAGGAAACCAATAAAATTCGTACAAGTTAAAATAAAATAATTCGAAGTGGTCTGTATTCTGTCGAAACTGCCAGACGCGGATCGCGATTTCGATCTTTTTGGATCTTATCAGCGCGTCGCNCAGACCACTTCGAATTATTTTATTCGATTAAGCTAACGTGCCTATCACGTTGAGGTTGGCTACGCCAGGATTCGTTTTCAGCAAGTAGATATCCACACAAGTGGACCTTGTTGAAAAATACGTAATCCTAAAATGTAGCATCGTGCTACAGATGGCGTTCACTGTGTCATTTGTAGTATTTTCGTACAATTGATCTAAGGTTTTTTCCCAACCCAGGTGTTTTAGGTCAACATGAACATGATTGATTACTGACCAGGCCATAGAACGAGGAACGATCGGTAACCATGTTTATTTGCCGTTTCTATCAATTTTACGGAACAAAATATTATTTCGGACATCGTATGTTTTAGTCAAATCGGGTAGTATGTCACCTGATTTCCAACTTGCTATTGTTTTAAGAATTTCGTCATCCCGCTGTTGTTCGACAACAAGCCAGTCCTCATGTAAATTAACAATTTTGAGACTCTTAGCATTAAAATGCGATTTTGAGACGGTTTTAGCGTCAGGCAATGGGTTTCGTGAGAGAAAATCTGCGTGTTTCATGCGCAAACCTTCGCGATATTGGATGTCAAAGTCAAAAAAAAATGCCCACCATCTATGAACGCGTGGGGTCAGGTCAATTTTATTTCGAGAAGCCTTTAAAGAATTACAATCAGTTACAACTAGGAAATGTTTTCAATACAAAAGGTGTCTGAAATTTTTGACAGCATTAACAACTGCTAATGTTTCGAGCTCATACGAATGATACTTCGATTCAGCTTCAGTAGTACGCTTGCTGAAATATGCAACAACGTGCAATTTGGAAAACTTCTGTTGGAATAAAACTGCGCCATAACCTTCGGAACTAGCGTCAGTGTAGTAATTCGATAGGTAGGTCAGGATCATAAATAGAAAGTACAGGCTCGGAAGTAAGTTAATTTAATTATCTTTGTAGTACCTTGAGTGAGTTGAGCTGCCACTCTTGAAAAATTTGAAATGAACTGTCGGAAATATGATGCTAAATTTAAAAATTGGAGTACTTGCGTCTGTGTTTTGGGAATTGGTAAATTGGAATTGGATTTGGGCGAAGTTCATTCCCATGGACAACATAGCCAAGATACTCAACCTGGGTTTTCAAAAACTTGCACTTTTTAAGATTGAAGGAAAAACCAGCTGTGATTAATGTTTTCATAACAATTTCTAATTGTTCAATTCTCTCAGAAACTGAGGCAGACGGTATCAATATGTCATCAATGTAAACAATAGCGATTGTATTTCGAAGGTCACCCAAAGCCGTATCAATGGCTCTTTGATAAACAGACGGAGCGTTTGTAAGACCGAATGGCATTGTCAGAAATTCATACTGACCATCAGGTGTAACAAATGCGGTTTTTTCAGTACTATTGGCATGAACAGGTATTCGATGAAAACTGGCAGCCACGTCTAGAGAAGTAAAATAACAGGCTCCATGTAGCCTGTTAAGTTGGTCACTAATTAAGGGAAGCGGGGATCGTTCCGGAAAAGTGTTAGTATTTAGTTCACGAAAATTACAACATAATCTATCGCTTCCATCTTTCTTTTTGACTAATGTAATGGGGCTTGCAAATGGGGAGCAACTGGGTCGAATAATATTAGCCTCTAATAATTCGGAAGTTTTTGAAAAGGTATGGTCTTCGTCTAACTAACTTATTAGGGTCTTTTAGGCGGAGTTCTAAACTACCCGTCGTTACTCTACTGGTTGGCACACCATCTACAAAATTAGATTGATAATTCCTTACTAAATCGATTAAACCCACCCTGTATTGACGGTTTAAATCAGTATCAATTGTTTCAAAATCATTTACTCTACTCGTACACATTTCGACACATTTTTCTCCAGTAAAAGTTAAACCCTTAATACCGTAGGAAAAATTGATATTTTGAGCGATTAAGTCTCGACCTAGTATGACATCAATAGAAATGCTATCATCAGGTACAACAAGTAACGTCAATTCGATAAAAATGTCTTGAATTTCAGCTAACACTAGCTTTTGTGAAGT